ATGCCACACCGCACTGATGCAGTGATTGTCATTAAAGGTGACCCAACCAAGTATTGCATGTATAAATTAGCATATTTTTAGAGGGTAAACATTTTTGTTCTTGTAAATCCTTTTATTTTATTTAATTTTTTTGATTGATCATAGGAAATATTCTAATACTTTGAAATACTGGATTTCAAAACAAAGAAAGGCCTGAAATATTTCGCTTTATGTGTAATTAACATGGAATATATGAAAGTGTACCTTTTTGTATTAAATAAAAAAAGAGAACTCTTTGACCGGCCTCTGTAGACAGACAGTCAGACAGATAGATCGGTCGAGTGAAGCAACCTGAGACTTGAACAATCAGTTCAAAGGTGAGTCAAAACATACAGCCAAGACGACATAAGAGTGACTTCAGGACGAGTCTCTGACTGTGTTGCGTGGTCCAGCCAAAGATCAGATTTAAACCCTGTAGAAAATCTGTGGACTGATCCAGAGATGGAACTTCACAGACACTTCCCATCCAGTCAAATGGAACTTGAGAAGAAGATCCAGGAAAAATAAGATGAACCCCTTAAATCCAGATGTGAAAAGACTTGAGGCTGTAATGGCTGACAAGGGGTCTTCTATTATGAACTAAATAAAGGGTCTGGAGGTTTCAGTTTTGACTGTTGTTAAATTATATTAAAAAGATCTTAAAACACATTTTCATAATTATTTTGGAATATTGAGTGTAGCTTGAGGCAAAAAACTACAGCTTTTTAAATTTAGAACTAAATTTATATTATAATAAAGAATTCTAAATCCAGTGTATGTTATGTAATAATGAAGAGGTAATACAATAGAGACTTAACACTTTGTGACAATTTGTCCAAATGTAATTACTAAATACTTTAGATTTTACATAGTCATACTTTATTGTCTACACTTTTCTATACTTGGATACTACAAAAGCCCTTCAAATTAAAGAGGGGGAAAAATTCTCTGTTTGGTCAAACTGCTCACAGCTCATGTCAGCGCTGATGATGCAACGCAGCTTCCAGTAGTTAGTAGCTCTCTCAGTATATGACAACAGTGAGCAAAAGTTGGCAACCACTGCAACAGACCAAGAGGTAATATAGTGGTGTTGAGGACTCCAGTATCCAGTCATTTGGATAATATATTATATATTTTGTCTTAGTTTTCAAGAGCAACTCTGTGTAATGTGTGGGAGCAGTAATGTAGGGCAATAGGTCAAATGAAATGGAGAGCAGCAGCAGTGTTGGATTAGGGCAGCCTGGCCTGCTGCATAATAGCTGATTAGTTTACGTTCCTCTACTTACAGAGACAAAGCACATGTCTTCTTAGAATAGATTTACTTGCCTAATCTAAACATGTATATTTAGAGTCCATTTAGCACATTCGTGATTACTTATTGCTTGTTTTTTTCCTGCTGGGATTTTAGTAAGAAAATACCTACGTGACCTTATTGTCTTTAAAAGCAGCAACTTTTGTGTTGCGAAACCAGACATTGTCCACACCCCCCTGGACTTTGGTTTAAATCCAAGTGGAGATCCCATGGTTTTCAAAGATACAACAACATACATTAGTTAGTCCATTTCTCTATATTTTATGACTTACATTTTCTGCTGCACTCATCCCAAGCCTATTAATTCCCGCTGAAGATGCAACACTTTAAAATAGTTCACAAATAGACACTCATTCATTTTTGAAAGAGTCTCAGTAAGTTCATGAACAGTGGGCACTCTAGTTTGTAGCAAGCCTAATATAAAGAGGAGGAAATATTGCATTTGTTTAGAACTATGTTTGGCTCTAGATAAATACACATTTGATGCTCTGGAGAATATTGTGTCAGAATGGTGCATGTAGGATTAAGTACAAAACAAAAAGAGCAGCAAAACAGTGTCAGCCTTACCATGTACATATTGAGAAACATAGATATGATATATCATTTAATATGATATAAACATATCAACTGGAAGCTTCTGTGTCATTGAAACACATCCTTTGGCCATTTTCAAGGGTTTTTGCAACACATTTAGTACAACTACAGTTGAGAAAGTGTAACTGACACAGAGTTACAAAGCTGTTATTTACTCTCCAATTAACTGTTTGGATTACAGAGACGTAAAAATGTCAGTTTATGGTCAGTTTTTCAGATTTCATTTTGTCCTGGGAAAAAGGACAAGAAGACTTACAGTATATATACATACCAGTGGAATTCCATTTTTCCAAAAGATATTCCCTCATGTGGTGCTGTGACGATGGTTGTGGAGAGTGCTGTCCAATGCTTTGGTTCAAAGTAGGTGTTCAGTTGGGTTGCGATCTGGTGACTCAGCATATTATTTACATCATCACACGACCCTTCCCTCTAAGGGAATAGGTGGACCTAAAACATGCCATCAAAGGCCCCCATGGCATAACAGAACCCCTGGATCCATCAACTGTAGGGGTCAACACCTTTCAGTATACTATTTAGTATTTCTAAATAATCCCAAGTGTCATTTATCTTTAGAGCCCAAGGCTTTGCAGCTAAGGAGTTGCTACTGACTGAACTTGGGTTGGGTAAGTTTTGTAAGGTGGAAATTGAAAAAAAAGAAGCCTAGGAGTTAAGGGTTATCAAGAATAACTTTTGAACTGACAAGTCCTTTAAAGCCCAGTTGATATAAATTCTGTCCATGTCCACCTGGGTCCTTGTGGAGTTCTGTGCAGACATCCACAGGCAGCACACCATTTCTGACTCTGTTTTCCCTGCATATATCAAAGTCGTAATGCAGTAATGTTAATATTTAGCCATTCAGCAATTGTGAGGTAAATATTGATTACTGGCAGGACATCACGCTAAGTCATTAAGGTAAAGCATTACAACATTGTATAATAAAGTAGAATTACACATACTACATTCACGTGCCAATCCTTGAAGTAAATATGATAAAACTACTGCTTTTCCTGAGATCCAATCAAATCAAAGTTTATTGAAATTTTGCTGTACATACACAGTAGTACAGGCAAGACGAGAGAGCGTTTCTTCAGGATCCAACAACTTAAAGCAATTTAAATAAAGAAGTGTTTGCATATCTGGATCAGCAGTTCAGCATTCTGACAACTTGTGGAATGAAGCTGTGGATCAGTCTGGAGGTTCGTCCTTTCATGCACTGGAAACGTTTGCCTGATGGCAGCAGTTCAAACAGTTCTTGGAGAGGGTGTGAGGAGTCCCTGACAATGTTCAGTGTCCTGCTCCTGCAGCAGCTCTGGAAAAGTTCTTGGACAGAGGTGAGGGAAACTCCGATGACCCTCTCAGCTCCTCTAACTATCCTCTGCAGGTCTTTTCCATCTGACATATTGCACCTGGAGGACCAAGTTGAGATGCAGGATGTCAGAACACTCTCCACCACACCTCTGTAAAAAGTCCTGAGGATGCTGGCAGGGAGAGAAGCTTGTTTCAGCTTCCTCAGGATATGCAGTCTCTGCTGGGACCGTTTGATGATCACTGCGGTGTTCTTATTCCAGCTCAGGTCCTGCGAGATCTGCACTCCAAGGAACTTGATGTTCTCCACTCTCTCCACTGTGCAGCCGCTGATGCTGAGAGGAGCATGCTCAGGATGTGACCTTCGGAAGTCAATGATCATCTCCTTTGTTTTGAGCAGCAGGTTGTTCTTACTGCACCAGCCCTCTAGGTGTTTCACTCCATTTCGGTACATTGATTCTTTGTTCCCGTGAATGAGTCCCACTACTGTGGGATCATCAGCAAACATGGTGACCTGGAATCCCTCATGTGGGGCTGCACAGTTGTGTGTTAGCGGTGTAAACAACAGTGTGAGTATACAGCCTTGAGGAGATCCAGTGCTCAGCGTGATGGAGTTGGAGATGTTCTTTTCAACTTTCGGTCAGAAAGTCCAGGACCCATCAGTCAATCAGTTTTCTTTCGGCATTAATATTCTAATAATGTGAGCTTCTTTGTCAAAACTCTAACTTCATGTGAAGAGCAAGCACTGATAATTGCTGGAAATAAAATCTTGGAATCCTCATTGTTTACATACATTTCTCTCAGTTCAAATGAATTTGTATTCAGAGGTATGCCTGAAAACTAGAGATATCCTTTATAACATGGTAGTTGCTGGTTGTGGGGTAATGCCTTTCACTGGGCTGGCCAAAAGTGTATATGGCACTGTTTACATCCCATGCTAATGACTGAGTCTTTTCTTTGCCTTTATAGGACCATCAGGCAAAATGTTGAGCCTTGGCGCCCTCTTGTGTGATTTAGGTTATACTGTAGGCATTATTGTCACCTCTCAAACTCTCAAATTGCTTTCAGTTCGTAGTGTACGAAAATAATTGTTTATTGTGCCTTAAGCAGATTTGGAAGCTTGTGGGGGCTATGTCAAAGTATGACTTTCAATACGAGGCAACATACAAGAACTGAGCATGTTGGTTTGGCGATTTTCTTTGTATGTTTCTGTAGGTATAAGTGGGGGAACACATTCAGCACACCATTCTAAGGACATTATATATTAATTCCAGTGTGCCAGCAGAAACACATAAATGTTAACTCAGAATTGCTTTTGATAACACAAAAAAGTTATAAAAATATGTCAAACTATATTGTCATTCACAAAACGTCAGTAAACATTTAAACATAAGATTTCATACAGGTGAAGTGATAATGTAACACTGTTTTTTTAATGCTTCTCCCTAATAGAAAGAAATGTAAAAATTGTTGTTGGCTGTTATGAGTCAGTCAGGGTCATTTGCCACATGGAGATAGGCTTGTGTCTGGTGCAAGGTCTTCCCCCTAGAACCAGCAGCAGATCAGGCAGATGCTGGGCAATATCTTCTGTCTCCTCCTTAAGCAGCTCCTCCTCAGTGTAGCTCCACTGTTTCCTGAAAGCTTTGTTCTCAAAGGTCAAACAGCTTCCAATCCACTGTGCATCTTTCCCCATCAAAGCTTCTTTACTTGTGTTCCCTTCTGAAGAATTTTGGAGTGTTTTGCTGTGATAGCACTTGTCTGGACTGAACGTCTCCAGCTCTATAGCAGCCTCTGACCCCAGAAAACTGAGCGGGGCAGGGAAACATTTGTTCTTAAAGGGCCTGTGTTTCCCATCTAGCGACCTGTGCTGCAGTTCGGAGCTGGAGCAGGGACTGCTGGTGTTAGACCTATAGCTGGGACCGAGCCCAACACAGCAGTGGTGAATCTTGTCAGGGGGGTTGGAGCCTGGGAATGTGCTGACTTGGTCCCAGGTCTGAGTATGAAAGCTATACCTCCACAGGCAGTTCATTGGAGAGGTTTGGCTCTCGCCTCCCCCAAAGAGAAGCATACTGTCCTTATAGGCCACAGCTGAGTGGCCCATCAGTCTGGGGGGACCGGACCTGAGGAAAACAAGCATAGGTGGTGTTAGCAGGAAGGAACACACAACACAATGTGTATTGTGTGAATTGACCTTTAGTCTGATCTCCAGCTGTGACCATGATGTAGTGGATATTCCAATGTTATACTGAACACATACAATCAGTACTGCAGAACTGCAAAAGCAGGCATGTTCTAAAAACATCTGAATTTTATAAATAGGAACAGATGTCCAGGAGGTCCTTTGGTTATCATTTCTTGACAATGTTTCTGAAACAAATCCAATCAACTCCTCTCAGCTGTCAAAGAATGTAACATGAATTAACATTATTTACAACGAAGCCCACATAAAGATGTGCAAATCTAGTTTGTTTTCCTGATCAAAGACATTTAAGAGATCATTTTAATTTAATACAACATGAATGTGCCTTTCAAAGATTTGGCTACCTATTGAAGTAAGGTAATAATTGGACTCAAATCAAAATGCTGCACCTTCTGCTAAGTAGTTGGATGGAGCTGGGCAAGGTAAGGCATGCAAGAACCTCTCCTTATTGCTCATTCACCCTTCACATACAAGGCACCAGCAGACCACGACTTGATGCTATAAACTATCTCCAGTTAGTGAGCCCTGGCCCAGTCTGTAAGTTTGATTTTCGATCTCAAGTTCTGCGTTGTAATCCTAGAATAGAATAGAATAGAATAGAATAGAATAGAAAAATACTTTATTTATCCCAGGCCTGGGAAATTACTGAATCCTGTTTAAGAAATCCTGTTTCTTCTTGTGCCCTAGTTCTGACCCTGTCCCGTGCCTGAAGACCCCACCGGCCACTACCCATCTGATTCCGTCTACCGATCATCTTGTCTGGATTATCCACACTCAGCTCCTGCTACCGAAACGTCAGCCTGGACCAGCTTCATCCCCAGTTTGTCAGTAAGCTTTGATCTCTTGCTTAGTCTTTCAGTAACCCCGTTTAGTATTTTGAAACCTGATTTGTAGTTCTGTGTAGCGTAATCGCTAAATAGTTCTGTTCATTGATTCTTTGTTTTCCTGACAGTTTTTCCACCAGCCTGCTACAGGGAACTGGTTGTTTTGATGTTGGAGTTGATGATTCCTACTTCCTGTAAAACATTATTTACAGTAAATAAATTCTCTTTTGATTGCACCCTCTCATCTGCCGAGTCTTTGTCCGCGTTTGAGTCTCTGAACCTGATCCGTGACTTGACATCCGCATTGAACTTCCACAATTGTGTGTGCAAAGTTTTACACTCACTTTCAGTTCCAAATAAAGTGAAGTAGACAATGTGGCGAGCTTACTATTCCGCTACTCTAAACAAGCAGCTTGTATTCAACTTTTCTGATTGTCTTAACAATTGTGTGTATGCCTTGTCTGTTAAAGCGCAACTCAGCCTGAATCTTTTTAGTCACTTATATAGTCGAGCTCTTCCTCTCATACATACATGAAAAAGTCTAGTATTACTCAGAACTATTTTTTGCCTTATTTGTTACTACAGACTACAATATGAATTTTCACAGTCTCTTCTTGTGAGCCTGTATTACTCAGTGACAGGTTATGTGCCACCTTCAGCCATCTGGAAATTGTACACAAAGATGAACCAGACTTATGGAGGTCCACAATTCTCTTCCTGATATCATGGCTGATTTTCCATGTTGTCACAAAAGGAAGCAGAGTGTTTGAGGTGTGCCTTAAAATACATCCACAGGTGTGCCTCCAATTAACTCTGATGTTGTCAATTAACCTATCAAAAGCTTCCAAAGCCATGACATCATCATCTGGGCTTTAACAAATAATTAGACGATATAATCTTAGTGTATGTAAACTTCTGACTTTGAAGAAAGTAGTAAAAAATTCTCTAACGAAATCTCTCTCTCATCATTCCGTAATTTAGCAAATAGAAATAATGGTGGTAATCCCAACTGACCTAAAACAGGAAAAGTTTAGTCTGATTTAATGTCAGACAGTGAGAAAAAAAAGGTTATGTGTTGTTGTACACATGACTTCTACGCAAACCTCTGGTTCCAACTGTAGCTACATCTTGCTCCAACAATCACTCTTCCTGTGACACACCCACTGTACAGGCTTACACAGCCTGACACATGTCAGACCCTTCAAATGTGTGACAGTAAGCTTTATCTTGAAATAATAATGTTTGGACAGTTAACCAACCAGATCTAAAGAATCAAAAAGTTTAGATTTGTTAAAGAATGAGTTAAAATCTGGTAAATATCTATTTTTTCCTCAAGTTTTAACATGTCCATATGATGTTTATTTGTACAGTCCCAGAGACATTTCAAGGACAAAATAAACAGGCAATACTATGATTTAGTATTTCCAATTTCAAACAGCGTACCAGCAAAATTCTCAATAACACAGATTTAGGATTTGCTTCTGGATTTCATACATAACAAACCTGAAGAAGCAATCCTTTAAATTTGCAGGGTGCAATTATACAACTTGCCATTGTGTAGTGCACAGCAGTTTTACAGTGTTTGAGGAGAGGGGAGTTGATGTGCTTAAGTGAAAGCGTGCGGGAAATGTGGGTGGAGAGATGTAGGGATTCCAATAATTGCTTATTCTAAAGTAAACAGTGTTATTTTAAGAAAAATGTAATGGGAAAACAACTCTAAATATGAAGCTTTTTAAATTCTGTATTTCAGTGGATTAATTAATGACCAGAGAGGGACTTTAAGCAGCAATATTTTACATTTTGAAGACAGTAAGAGTTCTCTTGGAACCTAGCCAAATGTAATGTATTCAGCATGTTGACATCCTTCTGCATATTCAGTAGTACATTTTACTGCACTACTGGCCATTTCCAAAAGACCAAATAACAGATGAATCACTCACTTGTTTTTGAGGGAACTCCATGTCTGGCTGGTGGAATTCCACTTCCAGAAGTCTCTCTGCTCCCGCAAGCCTTTTAAGCCCCCAAACAGGTACATGCAGCCCAGATAGGCCATGGCCGAGTGACTATGTCTAGGACCGGGCCCTAATGAGCCCTGCTGAGAACCACTCAGCACCGACCAAGTCATGGTATCTGTCATGCATGTAGACACACACGTACCAACAATTACAGCACATATTGCAGCTTGCACTGTAAACACACAGTGCAAGCAGTGCACATGAAATAAAGGCTGAGTCACAACATGTTACCGTCTTGATAATCAAGCTATGAACACAGAGCTTTCTGTGTGCAGACGCATGTGAGACAGTCTGCAGAAATGCTTGTCTGACAACGTAAAAGACTTTTCCACATAACATTACATAAACCTCCCTCATTATTTGTATAGAACGTATGCCCTCAATCTTGTTGTGTCAAAGGCAAATTTACACCATGACATCCTTAATACAATCGGAATAAATATATTCTAAAAACTTGGATGGACAACTAGTTCACGTGAAAGAAAAATGTGTCAAAATTGCAGAGAGAGGCTGCTGTAAAGTGGATTTCCCATTTTTTAATAGGGTTTTTTCCCCCCACATTGTAACAAAAATAAAATGTACTCACCAAACTCCAACTTCCAAAAGTCCTGTGAGGATCCTTTTATGTCTACAAAACCTCCATACATGAGCATGGCAGAGCCAACCACCACAGCACTGTGTCCTTTTCTGTTGGTAGGCATTTGGGTCTGCAAATATGGAAACAAAAACACAACAACACACACAAGATGGCAGGCTATTAACTCGAAGGTATATTTCCTTGTATTTAGATTTTTTGTTTGATTTTTTATTTTTTTTTAATGTATTTGTCTCATTAAGGTTCTCCAGAGAGCCCATAAGACTACATCTCACATAACTGGATTTAAGACAGCAGGGAGTAGACAAGTTCTAGCCTTGCACTTTCCCAAGCTCCTCGTTGTGGTTTATATCAATACCTGTGAACTGTATTTTCTTTACAACTGTAAATATACTTTTGATTCAATACGTGTTTTTTTTCTAGAATCGATGTTCTTAACATTTCTTAATAATTCTTTGGCATTTAAATTTCTTAATAATATAAGTGTGAAGATTACTATATTATCCAATGAAATGCATGTTATTATTTTTTTTTTTTTTTAGTTTTTGTCCTGTACTGTAATGTCATTCTTCTGTTGATAAAGGTTTAACCTTGCTTGCTAACACTATTGATAATAGTATGGCAGCTATTCTGCGACTTTTTTACCAATGCTGTTTTCGTTCACAAACAAACAGCAATGCAGTACATTCACTTATGTGCCATTAAGGATCGAATCTTCTAAAATTGTTCTCTATAAGAAAACTAACAAAGAAACTTGGCAGGAGCGAGAGGAACAGATAGTTGTTTCATAATATCTGCTACAACGCCATATTATCCTAAAATGAAAGCATTGTGTACCTGAGGACTTCTTGTCTTTCCCTGGCAGTGTACCCACTTCTGCTTTGCTGAAACACACACACAGCAAAGGAAAATAAAGTAAAGTAGAGCCCTAATTGAAAATAAATTAGTTCATTGAAAATGGTCATGATAGTCCTCAAAGCCAGTCCATGTCCAGCAGAACAACATTAGGCAGATTGGTATATGTCAGATACTATATAAAACATCATTTAATTTAAACTACAGCACTGAATTTAACCAACAAAACCAAAGCTACACATAGCTGTTTTGGTCCAATGTTAAGAAAAAAAGTTACCTGGAAATGCAAGCCATACATATGGGTAATTTAAAATACATAACCACCTTAGTTGTCTTCGTAGGAAGTATTACCTTCCTTGTAAACACATTTTTTTAAACACAAACATGGGGAACTATTGTTTTTCACCCACTGTACGGTGGACATAGTATTTAAATGAACCATGTCAAGTACAAGACATATGTCAAAGAGGTGATAATCAATTAAAGTTATGTTGAAACAGGCACGCAGCTTGGCCAGCCAAACTAAAACAGGCAGGAACCAACAAGCTGTGGAATTTTGAAGTGTAAGTAACAGCAACATGCAGCTCAAGGTAGCTTTAGGTTGTTGAAGTTACTTCACATGACTAATATTTGTTAGCATCAATTGTATTTTCCTATGTTACTGCTAATTATGCAGGTATTGCAAACGCATCAGAGTGTGACTGCTTTCACAGGTTTCACAATCAGGTGTGAGCCATCGTAGTGAATAATCTCACAGGGGCTTGGAGGTGTGAGACGGGAATCAACATGTAACAACAAGTTTTATCTTTTAAGCCTGACAGTGTGCTGACAAAACCTTGAGGACGAGTAGCTGGTTTAACTTGCACCATGCATGCACCTCCACACACAAACTCACCAATGTCAAATACCCAGAGAGCACATCTACACTTGTTGTACGCGGAATCCAACATGCCTCCAAACACATACAGGAAACCCTGAAAAGATCGCAACACCAAGCAGTGTCACAAGATACATAAGCATTGTATGATAATTTACATATAACAAATGCATTCAAAGTGTATTAAGAGTTTCTTAATTAGTGTGTACCTCATGAGCCACCATAGAATGTTCCTCTAGCTCCTCTGGTGCAGCTTCACTGGTACAGTTCAACTCTGTCCATTCGTTATACACTAAAATATTAAACACAGTTGTTTGATTACCTGAAGATCTCCACTGTTTCCAGCTGTTCTATGTGATGCAGCTCATTCTCCACTGTTAACTTGCTTTAAGTAACACACATAATATAGAGTTAGTAGAGTTGACGTCTATATATGTTGCAATACCAACGTCATTCATATTTTTGCCAATTCCTACTTGTTGGCATCATAGTATATAAATAAGGATGATGTGCAACCACTTCCTCATTGTACAGATGTGAAGCCAAAATATTGCAGAAATGGACAGTGCTGGCTTCTGGTGGCATCAAATCGAGTCTGGATAGGACAGACATCACAATCGTAACTGTCTTAGACTGTCATGGATGCTTGCTGTGTGCTTCTTGTATGCTATAAATAAATATATATACATATATATACATATATATATATATTTTAAAAAAAAGCTTCTTTCTGTCTCGTCTATAAATGACTTGTACCCTTAGCTTACCAGACATTACATTAGAATTAATTTACTCATTAGGTTAGCCTTCAAAACACAAATTCAACTTCGTACATAAACTGCAATAATCCTCGAGATCTCTCAGAATAGGAGTTAGCACAGTTTACAGCAGAACAACTTATGTTGTGGTTGTATATCACACAGTTAAGGCAAGAACCGGTCAAGATATTTTGGCTTTGCTTTAGCGACTAGTCACGTCGTCTATCATTATTAGTGTAGCTCAATATAAATATTTCAAAGCTTTATTTAATTTTGATGATTAGCACTGATAGTTCATGAAAATCATGCAATCACTGGGAAGACTGCTGACTTTAAAGTTGTCAAGAAGACGATTGTCAACACCCTCTACAAAGAGTTCAGGCCACAGAAGGTCACTGCTGAAAAGGCAGCTGTTGTCAGAGTGCTGTATGAAAGCATATTGTTGGAAAGTTGACTGGAATGGAACAGTGTGGTAGGAAAAGGTGCACAAGCAACATGGATAGCTGCTGCCTTGAGAGGATTGTCAAGAAAAGTTGATTCAAGACCTGG